ATTTCAGCCATATTGTGACTAAAACCGGTCATACACTGATAATTGGTTGACTAAATGTGTATGCAGAGGTCACAATGGTGGATGGGTATGGATAGTGTAAATGGGGAGCCGTCAGATAATCAGAGTGGGGCAACCGGCATGTTTTGGCACTAAAAGTAAACCTGAAAATATTTCTGTTGCTCTTTTCATGAAATATATAATTTGCTGAATGTAAAAAGGGGGTATTAATGTATTTGGAAAGAACCAATAAGTTGCCTTGTTTCAACAAAAACAAATTCTATAACTAAATATAATAAAATCAGTTGAAGGCAAATAGTGCCAGACACTGTAATTCACCTACTGAAGAAAGCCACAAAACAATACTGACTTCATAATATTCAAAACTTATCTAAAAGCAAACACAATAATCATAATAATTTGAACAAAATATATCATAGTTAGTCAAAACATCAAAATTAGCTTCTTTCAATTTCAAAGGAGAATTTTACTGTGTAAGACTCACCAGGAGCAAATTTAAGAGAATTATCAAAATGCAAAGATCAAAATTTGAAATACTATAAAAACAAAAATATCAGTCGAGTCCCCAACAAACTAAACACTTATCAAGTCTGAACAAAAATGGCAGGGAAACAGGTGATAGGTTTTTCAATATGGCTGCCATGGAAACTAAATTCAAAACTCATCAATGTATTCCGTTATCATCATGAATAGACGTAGCTTGGGTGAAGGATTTCACCAATAATACTTACGAAGACTTACAAAGTGTGCATGTAGGTTTCTATGTTAAAACCTTCATAAACGCCAAAAAACATATCAAAGTCAATTCCTAATTAAACACAAGAAAAATAAATGCATGGAATTGTTTATTTTGAGATTTTCAGAAAATATTTCTCATACAAGTCTGTACAAATATTTACATACACTAGGGACGACATTTCAGTGAGATTGGCCATTGACAAAACAACTTTCCTGTGTACACACATGAGTGGACTTCAGTATTCACATACAAACTTCATAGTCACACAAAATAGTTAAAATCATAAATTTACATCAAATAAGCAGATGCAAAGCACAGAAAAATAATAACTTATCCAGTCAATGGACAGCTCTATGTATGTTAGTATAGGGCTAGTTGTTGTGGTCCGAACATACCTGATGTTGCAAGTAAATGAAAACCAGACACTTGTCGGACCATAGAACCATATGCCATGAAGCTAAATCACCAGCCAAAATACCTAGTAGTCTAGTCAAAATAACAAGGGCTTGTGAATGTTTCTACAGGACAAGACAAGGATTAAGACTCATAATATAATTTCGCTGTGACTGACTGTGGTTTAACAATACTTTGAAAATATTTTTCCTTTAAAATCTTGTCAGCTTTGTGTGAGAAGAGTGTACAAACTATACACTTTTACCACCTGAGTGAACCAACAAGATCATGTGATGTGCAGACAAGCATAGGCGGATGTTTATTAAATGACCATTGAAACTCACATGAAAATGGGTGAAAATGAACTGTGCACACCCCCTTTCTCAAAAAGCTGTATCCGCCTCTGACAAGCCAATATTCAAACCCACAAATCATAGGCTACCCACACATGTATGGAACACAACTCTGTATAGAGAATTAGGTTGGAAGGTCCCTTCTATAAGTGTTCTTAATACTACAAAAGCTTTAGTCAAAGTTTCAAAGCATGGGATTATCTGAACACTGAGATCGCCTTGTGGGACCCACGGGTACCCACACAATCCACCCAGAGTTAATCTTCTGCACCATTCCACAGTGTGAGTTTAGCCCTATGATAGACATAAGTCTAAGTTATACATGGGACAAACAGTCATCTTGATGCTGCCTTAAATGGGGTTGGGACTGAAATAGATCCTTGTTTCATGGAAGTGAAGACAGCAAGAGTTGGCCTTGCTGTGTAACAGGATACAGGTTTTCAAACTCTCAATGTCTTCACTGAACCTACAAGTTAGATATACACAATCTCAAGCCATTCAACAGTTCATACTGTCTATCTCTATCACATTTTCCAAGCAAATCTTCCATTCCAAGATAAAAATCAAGTTCTACCACAGTGAAAACAGCACATTCAACTTGCTAGAGTGAATGAGTGAGTTGAGTTTTATGGCACTTTTAGCAATATTCCAGCATTATCTCAGCGGGGGACACCCCAAATGGGCTTCACACATTGTACCCATGTGGGAAATCAAACCCTGGTCTTCGGCATGCTGAGTGAACACTTTAACCACTAGGCTACCCCACCGCCCCCAACATTCTAGAGAATTAGTTGTAAGTTCTAATCTGGTTATAGCAGATAATCTGCTTTGGTGTGTTCAAATAGTTTGGACACTTGAAGGATGAGTTGACTAAACACTGCTTCGAACAGTACTCCAGCCATATCAGGGCATACTGGCTTTCTGTTGGATGAAAGCTGTAAGTGACGCAGGTGCCAGGTGTTTACTACTGTGGTGAGACTCTAAAGCAGTGGTATTGTGCTGACAACACTAGGAACGCACAAGGGAGATAACTGTTATAACATTAACATTTACACACTAAAAATGTGGTCGTTTTAGATGAAAGTCAAACACTCAAGTTAATAATTCTAGCTTCAGATATCAAAAACGTTGGCAGATAACTACTGCAGTGATGAATCAGTTGTTAGCCAAGGCTGAGTTCTGACATCACTAGATCACCTTCAACATCACAGCACAGCTTAAGATTGACTATCCCCAAATCACCAAATCAAAATATTTGAGTAACTGTCTCATTCACTCAGCTGATACTGACATAATCTGGTGTTGACAAAAAGGATTTAGCCGGACATAAAGGTAATTTTTTAATGATTACAATACGATTCTTGGATCATCAGCTCCAGAGTTGACGTTGAACAGTATTTCAGAAATACCATATCCCATGAATGCACGGATTCACTGAATCCAAATAACAGACATTCAGTTCTAAAGAAAACTGTTTTGATTCTAAACACAGCCCACTTACTGTCTCATAATAAGCTGAGAGGACCTGAGTGCACTGCCCTCTTGGTCTAGCAAGATGGTGCTAGCATTGGTGAACATAGACAACCTGATTGAAAAAACCACTGTGTTAATATTCAGTGTTTCTCTTTTGTATTGTAAGGCAATACTGAAAAATCTTTTGGCACTTCACTGAGCATATACATCCCTTCAAAAACATTCTGTTAATTTGCTTGTTTCAAATCAGCAGTGTAACGAGTACAGGTATGACTTTACGCCGCTTTAAGCAATATTCCAGCAATATTACAGCAAGGGGACACCAGAAATAGGCATCAGACATTGTACCCATGTGGGGAATCAAACCCAGGTCTTTGGTGTGACAAGCGAACGCCTTAGCCACTAGGCTACTCCTCAGCGGGTGTAACAATACAGTTTGTACAATTTGTGAGATACCAATGTATCAATAGTTTGTATTGGTTACTACAGTGATGTGTACTGATAGATATTCCCATACAGTTTCCATGTATGAACTATTTCTGTTTCCATAAGACTTGGTGACTCAACTTACTACATACGACTTACTATACTTAACAAGTATGTTTTATTTCAACATTAATGTTTGTAGTTCAGAAATAACCCCTGGGACTATCCAACTAACGGACTTTAACTTCACATTCATGAATTTCCACAAATGGTCATCTTTCTGCATGTTCTTCACATATGCAGTCTCACGTCAATGTTATGTTACCCCGGTTACCATACCACTACACCACTATATCATTTTCATGAAAATAAACTTACTTGTTGAGTCAAGCCACAGAACATTAAGTTGATTCAGCAATTTTTCAGGTACATAAGTTCACTGGTGGAAAGGGCGGTGGGGTAGCCTAGTGGTTAAGGCATTCGCTCGTCACGCAGAAGACCTGGGTTCGATTCCCCACATGGGTGTCCCCCGCCAGGATATTGCTGGAATATTGCTAAATGTGGCGTAAAACCCAACTCACTCACTCACTGATGGAAAACCAATCATGTAGTAAGACATTTTTGTCAGAGATCAGACCACTAACTGAAAACATCCAGAAGTACCAGTGAGGCATCCTTTTGCAAGCATGTCCTGGAATACTGGCAAAAAGCCAAGTAAGTTCTAAATTTAGAAGCATGTTCTCATATATCAATACCTGTCATTTTACAGAAACTTTCATTTAAATTCAATTGATTCAAACAAAATTACATGATCCTTCAAGGTGGTAATGCATGTTTGTCCTGAAGTATTTGAGGTAACATAGTCTATCTTCAGCATTCCCTGCAAAGATCCCTTGGTTTAATGTATTTTGTTGTAAGCAGAGGTGAACCAGAACCATCTTTTACCCAGCAAACAAAGCACAACGTCATGTGTAAAATGTGGTTCCAGGTTCTTTAGTGAAGTTTCTGTGTTGCTATGATACTAAGCAATATTGTATGTTGCCCAGAGAAATATGAACATTATGGCAATAATGGTTACAAGCTGTCTGTCTAAATATTATTCTGAACATTTATGTTAAAATTTCAGGTGGTATGTTTAGAAGCAAAGTTGTAGCTGCAAAGATTTAGTTGGTTACTGCAAATGGTAAACTGCAACTAGTTCCACAGTATTTGATTGGCTCAAAAAGCACATACTGTGTTAAAAACCACACGCCTATTTGAAAACTTTTTGCACACTACTGTTTCTTGACTGCCTGAACATAAAATGCCAGAATCATGTACAATATTTTGTGTTTGATGATAAAGGCAATCTATGAAGTTATTGTTATCCATAAACTGCAAAATACGGTTATAGCAAACTGAAAGGGACAACTAATTTCAGTTTGCTATAACTTACTTAGTTCTACGCATTTCAACTAAAACATACTTCATGTGGCTGGTACAAGAAAATCAATTTGTTATAGGTATCAGTTTGTTATATAAGCGTGTTCATAATGAACATCGTATACTGTATATAAGAACCAGCTTATGGAGGTATAACAAAAAATAGTGAGGCCAAATCATTATTAGCTCTGCTTGTTTTTAATGTATATGACAGTTACATGGGACAACCCAAGCATGTTATCTCAATGGAAGCAAACATGTACACATAAAGATGTTTTGAAAACACAGAAACATCATGATGCACGTAACTACGGCAACAACACAAAGCAGCATACAACGCTAGCAAACACATTCTGAGAGGAATATTTCCACTGGAAGGTAAATACTGTACTCATTTGATAACGCCCTTTTTTCATTTATCCTCATTGATTAAAAACAAACAAAACAAAGTCAATCCGAATCCCATAGCAAGAATCGAACAGGTCATCTTGGTATATTATGATACAAATCTCTCACACTGTAGTTTCTTGTCAATGTCTACTCCATCTTCCACAGGTACATCCTTCAGCCGTTGAACTGACCGTCATTCACACAATCCCATACACACGAGCGCCTGCTGGTATGATAGACACCAGCCCAGGCCCAGAATGCAATCACTATCCATGGAAAGGTATTTGGTCATCATTGGTTCGATCATCACACAAAAGAATTTTTTCTTTTCTTTGGACGGGTGACCACTTTTATTATTGGCGGCTGCATTATCTGGGCCAGGATTGGCCGACCGTGTGTAGCCCGCACTCACACTTCCTGTCGATCACAAGGGGCAGATAACTCTGCAGCACTTTCAGGTTATGGTTTCTCGTTTGTGTGTCATATCACAGATCATCAGCTAGCCCCCTCCTCCTCTTTTTTCTTCAATTCCAAAATCAAATCACGGATTTCATCTCTTTTTTTCAACACTATTTCATCCTTGAACCAGTTTTTTTAAACTTTTCATGGGCAATGAGAAGTCCATGATTGGATCCTGAAAAAGGAATAATTACAAATGATTTAATGGTCATTCATAACTATCATTAAATAGTCACGCAAATCCACAAATATTATCAACTGCACATCGTTCTGTTTCATTAACTGTATGGCTGAAACAATGCCTAAGGGATGTTACATGTTAACTCACTTAACCCACCCATTATTTGTGCTCTGTTGTCACCAGGAACTTTGGCCATATCATTGGCTCTCAAAAGCCAGGAATTAAATACTGTAATCTTGGAGTGCCCATGACTGATATAAGGTGAAACATCGAATGCAATCAGGGCGCTATGATATTCAACAAACGAAATCACTGAGGCTGATCTAATCCATATACTCACATCACACACAAATAGAGACTGTTTGTTTGTTTGTTTGTCGTTTAACACTGCACTTAGCAATATTCCAGCATTATGGCAGCAGTCTGGAGCACCTGGACCAAAGAATCCAGTGGTCAACATCATGAGCATCGATCTACGCAACTGGGATACGATGACATGTGTCAACCAAGTCAGTGAGCCTGATCACCAGACCCTGTTAGTCGCCTCTTACGACTAGCATGGTTGCTGAAGACCATTCTAACCCAGATCTTCACGGTTCCAAAAAAGGCTGCCACAGACATATTCTAACCCAGAATCCCTAATGTTATTTCTATAAAGGACCTGACCTTGAAGAAACTCTCGACATACTGCAGGAGGTAGACACCACAATCAGAGTAGTTGGTCTGTTGAGGCACTTTGACGAACCCTCCCTTCAACTTGTCCTTCACTTGCCGCTTGTCTTTCTTCTTTGTATCCCACTCCACCTGTAGGTAGCTGGAAGAAAACCATCTCAAATATTAGTAAACTAAACTGGGGAACTGCACCAGTGAAATCTGCCATTAAACTGATGCAGAGGAAAACCAACTAAAACATTAGCAAACTAAACTGAGCAATGGATGACAATATTTTAGACACTGAATCTTATAATCGTCTCTCCCATATTTTCAGTCAGGAGGGAAAACAATCCCTGAAAGCCTATGAAAGTATATATCTCATTTAAACTGACAAGAGAATCTTTGTAAAAGACTTACTCTTTTAAAATGCGCACGATAGCACTCCTTGAAGGTCCAGCCAAGGAATCATAAATTAGCACACATGCTCTGAAAAACATAAAAACAGAATCACTCAAGCCTTTACATTTAAAGACATGTTTCACACTGTAAAATAGGATCACTCTGTTGAGCACAGGGCAAGGTAAGATGGACTCAAGTCATTCATATTGATCACACTGATTACACATTCAGTTATTCATGGTCCACTTAATGGCACTTCTCTACATAATGATACTGTTTTGTAATACTAAATAATACACACAAAACATTGCTATTTAACAAACTTTTGTCTCAACAGTACACTGGTGAGTACACAAGTCTCTCCGACAAACTGGAAAGTGTCAGGTAATTACTGTATTGCCAAATTGTATTACTTCTAAGAAAGCAAGATTTGTCTTTTGGAAAATATTCTACACTTGTTGGGTGTTAATATACACTGAAAAGCCTATGGAAGTATCACTACTTCCCCTTATTTAGACAGTATCTAGTGATGTGACAGTTAGTTGTACTGATTGTAGTACATCTTGATCATTGTTACCATGGTTACTTACTGTTTGACTCCAAGACTGTACTCTTTAGTTTCATCTCCGTTGTTCAACACTTCACTGGGATCTAATGAAGTTCCCCGGATCTCCTTCAACACAGCAACATGCACCATGAACCTCTGTGTGACTAAAGCGACCTGTCAAATAACTGCTGGAAAAGCTTTTCCAATCAAACAAATCGTGAGAAAGCTTTCCTATGAAACAAATCCTGAAAAAGCCTTTACTATCAACAATTCGTGAGAAAGCTCTTCCTATCAATCAAATCCTGAGAAAGTTTTCCCTAACATACAAATTCTGTGAGATTTTTCCTATCAAACAAATCCTGAAAAAGCCTTTACTATCAAACAAATACTAAGAAAGCTTTCCCTATCAACCAAATCCAGAGAAAGCTTTCCCTATCAACCAAATCCAGAGAAAGCTTTCAATATCAAACAAATCCTGAGAAAGCTTTCCCTATCAACCAAATCCAGAGAGAGCTTTCAATATCAAACAAATCCGGAGAAAGCTTTCCATATCATTTGTTTCCTAGTTCTTAGATGCTGTATTAAGCAATATTCCAGCTGTATTATGATGTAGGAAGCAAACAAATCTGGACCAGAAGAACCAGTGATTGTTATCATCATGATAATGAGCAACAATTCGTCCCTTTAGAGTGCATTGACTCAACCAAGTCTTCAAACCTGATCAGTTGATACAACAAGACACCACATACAACTCGCACAGGTTGTATGGGTCCTAACAGTCTGTTTGGAGGCAGTACCTTGTTTGGACTGGTGTTGACGGAGGTTTGGCCATCATCTGCATCCATACTTGTTTCCTCTTTCTGTTCCCCCTCCTCAGGCTCCTCCCCCTCCTCCTGCAACAGTCAGTGTCACACTTATTGAAACAATGAAGACTTGTTTGATGTTGCCATCAGCAATATTCAAGCTGTTATAGCACAACACCACCATACACCACACATAATCCACCTCGAAGACCACCTTACTGAGGTCCTATAACATGATCCAAATTATTAAGATCCTCTGACATGACCCACCTTTTACTGAAGCCTTTTGATTTGATGTATTTTCATGGAATCCTCTGAAATGACCCCACTTACGCAAGCCCTTTCATGTGACCCCACTTAAACAAGCCCTTTGACATGACCCACCTCATGCAGGCCCTTTGGCATGACCCATCTAATGCAGGCCCTTTGACATGACCCACCTAATACAGGCTCTTTGACATGACCCACCTAATACAGGCTCTTTGACGTGATCCACCTTATGCAGGCCCTTTGACGTGACCCCACTTATGCATGCCCTTTGACATGACCCACCTTATGCATGCCCGTTGACATGACCCACCTTATGCAGGCCCTTTGACCTGACCCACGTTATGCAGGCCCTTTGACGTGACCCACGTTATGCAGGCCCTTTGACAGGACCCACCTAATGCAGGCCCTTTGACGTGATCCATCTAATGCAGGCCCTTTGACGTGACCCACCTTATGCAGGCCCTTTGACGTGACCAAGCTGAGATCCTCTGACAAGACCCACCTTATTGAGTTCCTCTGAAGCCTCTTCAGTGTTGGGACTCGGGGTTTCTGGATCCGGGGTGCGGGGAATGTACGGAATATGTTCCTCCTCATTCATGTTGGGGAAACAGATGATTGCAAGGAACCAATGAGAACTGAAATACAGATATGTGAATGATGGAGAATGTTTGGAACTCTAACTGGAAACCTGCACTAACAAGATGCTAAAATCACTAACAGCAATGTTCGGGCACAAATTCAAATACACAGTCACCAAACACACTGAACTCCTTTTAGTTCATTACTTTTTTCTGGTGAAGAGTGTCTTTTAACCACACTCCCCCTCACAATATTGCTTGCAATCATGATCATATAGGTATCTTTAACAACCTGACTGAATATAAGCAGATGCACATACTGTTCATTAATTGGCACAATGATGAAGTCCTTCTCGAACAGATCAACATGGCGAGTCCAGGTTTTCACTCGGGTGTGTCGCCGTATCATTGCCCTGTACAAAACACAACCAGATTTCTGTCAGATACCAGGAAGTGGAAAACCATATTTCCTACATAATGTTTGTTTGTTTATTGCTTATCACCATAGCAATATTCCAGATGTACGACATCAACCAGTACATAACTGAGTCTCGACCAGACACCTCAGAAACTGATACGTTGGACAACAATTCACTGTGCCAACAATTCAGGGTATGATCCAAAAAGTCACAGAGCTACCTAAAACATTTGGTTATCCCTTATGACCAGCCTTCTATTCTAGCGCAGAATTACCATATGGCTCCTAGTTTAAGACACATGTGTGGGGTAAGGTTTCAAAATAAGGAAATGGCATGTAGTACTTTCTAATTTCCTTCAGACCCATGACAGAAAGGAGCTGTCAGATCTATCAGTTTCACTAGGAGCAGGAGACTGACTACACAGCAATCAAAACCAATATCGGTATGGCATCGTACTGCTTGCTCTAGCTCAGTAGAGATCTAGGTTATAACTGTTCTCCAACAAACCCTGCTTGTCATATGAGGCCACTAATGGAATCCAAATTGCATATCCTGCAACGGGCTAATGGGCACAACACTGTATGCCCCGAGGAACAGGATTTTATCTTCCCAGTCTCCATAGTCCATACCAATCATTCTACATTCCCTGCCTAACTTGAATGAAAGTTTGAATTGAAAATCTTCAAAGCTGTAAATTGTTCCTGGACAGTCACAAAATGATTTAGTGATGAGGATAACTCACGGTAACTTGGCAACATCTTCTGGCATACTGTTGCGGGCCTGTTTCTGGGTGAGTCTCTTGTAGAAGAAGGAGCTGAATATGTGAGTCCTGCTTCGATCTTCCTCACTCAGCTTCTCAATGAATAAATACCTGAAATGATGCACCATCCACCTTACAGTAAGGCTGAATACAACAATGCACCAGTGAGATATTCAACACATGGCACATTTGTTTCTGGATCTCAAGAAGTGTTTTGTAATCTGCACATCAAACTGATCATGTTGAATGGATCTATCATGTTCACAAGTCATCATTCAAACTCATTTAACATTTGTATTATTTTAAGGTGGCCCCTTTCATTTTTGTTATAAAAAGCTCAAGCTTCTTCGGATGTATTCAACTTAAAATACATCCATGGATATGCTGGGATTCATAATTGAGTGGTCAGTCAGTGGTATTTGGCCCCTGTTGACATACAGATCTTGTTTAAAAGACTCCTTGCAACTATAGTATGACCAGAAATTATTGAGAATTTTAGGAATATGTTTAATTGGATTTTTAATATAAAAAACCTTGACCAGCTATCAAGTGCTTGGTTTCATTCAAGAGAGACAACTCTGTTAATCCTTTTTCATTAGTTTGTGAAGAGTTATCCCCCTTTGTTTACTTGCTAGCAGACGACATTTTCAGTGATCCTCAGTATGGATGATTTAGAGAAGAGGAAGTTGATTTTAGAGTATTATAACAAGGACATCAGATCAGCTAAAGTGATTTCAAGTAGGACAGGCATCCCTTTGTCCACTGTTTATTGTGTTTTGAAAAATATTGCAAATGGATATGGCATTGAGCACCAGGGAGGCGCAGGTAGGCCCAGAAAATTGACTGTCGGTGACAGGAGGCGGCTTGGTATTCTTGTTTCTAAAAACAAACGAAGGAGTTTAGAAAACTTAAGGCTGGATGTGATTGATAGAGGAACTGTGGATGTCTGTAAGGAGACAATTAGAACTGAACTGCATGCAATGGGTTGGCAAAAAAGTCGAGGAATTCCATCACCGATCATGAAACCTGAACAAAAGGAGCGAAGGTTGAACTGGTGCTTACAGCATAGTAATTTTTACTGGGACAATGTGATTTTCTCAGATGAAAGTTCTGTGTGGCTGTTTCCTAATACACTGAAATTCTGGACCAAACAAACTGAAAAACCTTTGTATCAGCGCCCAAAGTACAGACTGAAATTTAACGTGTGGGGTGGCATATCTGTGTTAGGGGCAACGCCCCTCTGTTTTTTTAAGGGAATATGAAGAGTGAGCGGTACACAGATATTCTCGAGGGACATTTACTTCCATCTGCTCACGACCAAAAAACATCGTTCAAAGCATTCACAGGCCTGGTTTCAGACCCAAAATATGACATTATAGATTGGCCAAGCTATAGCCTTGACCAAAATCCAATAGAATATGTTTGGGGACTTATGAAGGAAAGTGTCAATGAGAAAAATCTGACAAATATTGCTGAAATGAAAGAAGAGGTGGTCCGATATTGGGACAGCATGGACCAAGACTTTCTAACTTCTTTGATCAGTAGTATTCCCCGCCGCATTGAAGCCTGCATTGCTGCCCATGGTGACTTGGCAAAATACTAACTGTTCACCTGTCTTTGAATCTCGAGTTATGTTCTGCTAATATTCACATTTAATACGTGAGTAATGGGTGAAAAAAATATCAAAAATTACAATCACTAAATTCTCAGTAATTTCTGGTTGTACTGTATGTTCAGTTTTAGAACTTTTTTGTTACTTGCTTAACCTACTTGAGATAAAAGTCAATGATGACATCATTGAGGAACTCTCCCTCGTTGAGACAGTAGAGGTCTTCATTGGTGATTGTGATTCCACCTTTGGTTGGTGGAGGGGGATAGGTCAGCAATCTGGAAGTACCAGCAACAATGTTACACTTGCTGCACAACTACTGTTGGTATATAAGTGACATGGAGGTGTCAGCAACAATGTTACACTTGCTGCACAACTGTTGGTATGTAAGTGACATGGAGGTACCAGCAACAATGATACACTTGCTGCACACCTGTTGGGATATAAGTAACATGGAGGTACAAGCAACAATGTTAGACTTGCTGCACAACTACTGTTGGTATATACATGATATAAGTATCATGGAGGTGCCAGCAACAATGATACACTTGCTGCACAACTCCTGTTGGTATATAAGTATCATGGAGGTGTCAGCAACAATGTTACACTTGCTGCACAACTACTGTTGGTATAAAGCGACATGGAGGTACCAGCGACAATGTTACACTTGCCACACAACTACTGTTAGTATATAAGTGACATGGAGGTACCAGCAACAATGTTACACTTGCTGCACAACTACTGTTGGTATAAAAGCAACATGGAGGTACCAGCGACAATGTTACACTTGCCGCACAACTATTGTTGGTATAAAAGCAACACGGAGGTACCAGCGACAATGGAGTACCAACAACAATGTTACACTTGCTGCACAAATGTTGGTATAAAAGCAATATGGAGGTACCAACAACAATGTTACACTTGCTGCACAACTACTGTTGGTATACAGCGACATGGGAGTGCTAGCGGCAATGATACACTTGCTGCACAACTACTGTTTGTATAAAGCAACATGGAGGTACCAGCGACAATGTTACACTTGCCACACAACTACTGTTGGTATAAAGCAACATGGAGGTACCAGCAACAATGTTACACTTGCTGCACAACTACTGTTGATATAAAAGCAACATGGAGGTACCAGCGACAATGTTACACTTGCCGCACAACTATTATTGGTATAAAAGCAACATGGAGGTACCAGCGACAATGTTACATGGAGGTACCAACAACAATGTTACACTTGCTGCACAACTACTGTTGGTATAAAGCAACATGGAGGTACCAGCAACAATGTTACACTTGCTGCACAACTACTGTTGGTATAAAAGCAACATGGAGGTACCAGCGACAATGTTACACTTGCCGCACAACTATTGTTGGTATAAAAGTAACATGGAGGTACCAGCGACAATGTTACATGGAGGTACCAACAACAATGTTACACTTGCTGCACAACTACTGTTGGTATAAAAGCAACATGGAGGTACCAGCAACAAAGTTACACTTACTGCACAACTACTGTTGGTATACTGTTGAAAGCAACATGGAGGTACCAGCAACAATGTTACACTTGCTGCACAACTACTGTTGGTATACAGCGACATGGGATTGCTAGCGATAATGATACACTTGCCGCACAACTACTGTTGGTATAAAGCAGTATGGAGGTACCAGCGACAATGTTACATGGAGGTACCAACAACAATGTTACACTTGCTGCACAACTACTGTTGGTATAAAGCAACATGAAGATACCAGCAACAATGTTACACTTGCTGCACAACTACTGTTGGTATAAAAGCAACATGGAGGTACCAGCGACAATGTTACATGGAGGTACCAACAACAATGTTACACTTGCTGCACAACTACTGTTGGTATAAAGCAACATGGAGGTACCAGCAACAATGTTACACTTGCTGCACAACTACTGTTGGTATAAAAGCAACATGGAGGTACCAGCGACAATGTTACACTTGTCGCACAACTATTGTTGGTATAAAAGCAACATGGAGGTACCAGCAACAATGTTACACTTGCTGCACAACTACTGTTGGTATAAAAGCAACATGGAGGTACCAGCAACAATGTTACACTTGCAGCACAACTATTGCTGGTATAAAAGCAACATGGAGGTACCAGCAACAATGTTACACTTGCTGCACAACTACTGTTGGTATGTAAGTGTCATGAAGATACCAGCAACAATGTTACACTTGCTGCACAACTACTGCTGGTATGTAAGTAACATGGAGATACCAGCAACAGTATTACACCTCATGCACAACTACTGTTGGTGTAGAAGTGACATGGAAGTACTGCTCACATATTTTCTTAATTAAATCAGCTGTTCTATGTCAGCAAATAATATGAGTCAGGATAAGGAAAATTATTAAACATTAAACTATTGATTAAAATGAAATCTCCCATAGCCATGGATGTACTCACTTTTCTATTGGCCCGCTAAATCCAATCTTTGGTGGTGGTGAAGGTGACCTTGACCCTGCTGAGTTCTCCTTGTCCTCGTGTTTGGACGATTCTCCAGACATGGAGGCCATTGACTTCTCCTTCAGAGAAGACATGGCTTTATCACAGAGTTTAGATATCTTATCGTTTTTCTTGGGCGTGGTTTCCACAAGAAGCATGTTGGCTTTATCACTGCTGAGGTCCGTGAGGAGGGGAACCTTGCTTGCAGTCAGACGCTGATAGTGCTGAAACAATATGCGAATGTCCTGTCTCTCGCACTCCTCGATCTTGTTGATGATGATCACAATGTATTTCTGAGTTAGATCTGTGGAAAGACAGCATCAAAACAGTGAATGTTGTGTTGAGCAAAACTCAGAAATAACTGAAAAGCTTTCCCCACGTAATTAGTTATCCACCTCCATGTCAGAGTGCTCAGATCTGGCTCATTCACATCATAAATTCCTTATACACTGCTAGGAAGCAAGAAGCTGAAATTATTTTACAAGTCATTTGAGCTAACCTCATCTAAATCGAACAGGGTGGGCTGTTCTAATAAATCCATGACATGATGTTTTGTTTGTTTGTTGTTTAACGCCACAATTTTCCAGCTGTATGTCAACATTCTGTAAATAATTAAGTCTGAACTACACAATCCAGTGATCAACAGCATGAGCATCAATCTGAGCAATTGGGATACAATGACATGTGTTTGACCAAGTCAGCGAGCCTGACCACCCAATTCCGTTGGTGTCAAATACATCAACATGAGTAACAGAGTTGAAAACTCTCAAGCTTACAGAGGAGTTTTAAACTTTTCTTAAAGAGTGTTAAGAAAAATGGGTGAGATTCTGGGCCCTTATTCTCGAAACGTTCGTAGCCCTAAGAATTCTTATCTTTGATCTTAGCCAATGTGTTAAGAATGGGCTTAAGAAGTTCGTAGGGCTATGAACATTTCGAGAATAGCTAGCCAGATTACTAATAACTATTCTCTCAACTTTTAGTGATTAGCGACGATACACGATTGTGATTGTTTGCAGACCATTGTAATGGATTTTCATTGATCTTAACCTCAACCAAGCAATCACGCCTGAAGCAGTCAAAAATGTTTGGATGACAAACTGTGACAAAGCTTGAAACATGTATGGTTAGGAAGATGAATGCATAGCCAGATTGTTATTAGTGTTAACACAATAGAAATGCACAAACCTTCGCTGTCAGGAAAGTAGCCCTTCTGATTGGGCTCCTCCATGCTGAGTTCCTGTCGCAGCCTCTCGACGCACTCCTCGTAGGTGTGGAGGAACATTAGTGGCTGGGTCTGCTTCAAGATCGCCTGACAGGACTGTATTTCATCCACATTCACCTCGAACTGGAACTCTGTCTCGCGGTCATCACCTGCAGCAGACAAACTCTCATCAACTCTTGCAAAAAAAAAGGAATCTTGTGGCTAGACTGAGTGAGGGAAGTGGGATAGTTGTACACCAGTCAACAATATGAGGTGTAAGTTAGAAAGTGGGTTGTGGATCCTTTTGATCCTTGCTTTCGACTGTAACCTGTTGATTTGTTTTCAACACTATCACTGTCATTGCAACAACATGGACGCCTGACTTTTACTCCAAATTTCAAACACTATTCTAGTTCCACCAAGTTGCCCCTAATGGCCAACACCGGTTGCTAGGGACCAGTTCTAATTATGAATCCCCACGGGTGTCCACATTAGCTGCTTCTTATAACCAACATTAGTTGCTAGGGACCAGTCCTAACTCTGAATCCCCATAAGTTTCCAAATTAGCTGCCCCTTATGACCAACATCGGTTACTAGGGACCAGTTCTAACTCTGAATCCCCATGGGTGTCCATATTAGCTGCCCCTTATGACCAACATCGGTTGCTAGGGATCAGTTCTAACTCTGAATCCCCAAGGGTTTCCAAATTAGCTGCCCCTAATAACCAACATCCCAACATTACCCTATGGAACTAGAGCATGGGGTACTGGGCCAGTATTCTAGAAGAGTATTCCCCACTTTGGGCTGAGCATGGACAGATGGAATGTTTATGAGGTAAGTGGTACTCACAGATGACATGGAACTGGAATCCATCCCTGTTGATGGTGACATGCTCCAGTGGCGTGGACTTCATGCAGCCGATGCGGACACTCCTCACGTTCAGCTCCACCGAGATGTCTCGCTTCATCTTGCCGCCGGCAGTAGGCTGGGTCATCTGTCTTATCTTGGGCTTCCTGCCACGCTTCCTGCCAGGTACCTTGCCAGTCTGCAATGTCATTAGCTGCACTTGTGGGTGGACGTGTTAAAAAATGCATCGGCAATGTTTCAGACACCTATTTAAGAAAATACAGTTTGCTCTACCACCGTGTATAGTGTAATAAAGCACACTTTTGCCCTGATCTATTATAGTTAATGCATGAGGATGCTTGCATTTATGTGTCAATATGAACGTCGCATTTGTACATCCAGATGAAGCTGACTGGTCAAGCGACATTCCACGATTGCATTATGGGAATGAAAACATTGCGAACGTTACCGTTTTGTTGTAAATTTGTGAGTCAAACTGAGACATTTTATTTGTCGGAAAACATAAACGTAATGTTTCTACCCCTGATGTTAGCTGAGTGAAGCAACTACAAACCAAGAAACGGGATGCAACGGAGTAGTTTACTTGCGAGGCTGTATGAGGCGATGACAACTGACATGCATCGTGACGTCGGTTACATTGTGACGTCATGCAAAAGTGTTTGATTACGAGGGGGCAGACTAGAATGGCGCAGTGACGCCAATACATTGCGACGTAATGCAAAAAGTGTACATTATCGTCTGATAAAGTACTGTCGGCTGCTTTGATCTTTCACCGAAGCATCTTAGAATTAGTATTCATATTGAAGTGACTTACACATATTATACAGTTGGAAGCGTCAGTTTGCTATTATTTTCATACATCACAAAGTTCAAACCTTCCTGCCCAACATTTGTTAACAAAAGTTTCCATCTAAATGAAAGAGGTCGGTAAATAATCAAGCCTGGACCAGACAAACCTGTGATTCATATTATGAGTACTGATCCATGTAAACTGGATACAACAGTTGATCAAACAAGATACCATATTGTAATAATATTAATGAAGAATATTGGCATTTTGATGTATTTTGTACTCGGTAAATAGCAAAGCAAATTTTGATGACAGCATGAATGACATACAGCATCCTCCATCTTTTCCCGACGACTGGCTGGTCTTCCTGTGGAGTATTTGAAGGGGCTGGAACAAGGGCTGGTGTTGGGGCTATTGCTTCCACTGTTCTGATGGGGCGTGGTGCCTGGGGTGTAGGGCGGCGTTAGAGCCACAGCACGAGTCAGAGATTGGTCTTGGATGAGCGATGAGTTTGCAGCCATCATGGCTCTGGCAGAGGCATCTTCCTCATCGGATGATGAAATGGTCACTGTTTCTGGAATAGTGTGACCAAGGCATTATTCTCTGTTATGTCAGTCAAATGAGGGAGTAAGTGAATAAGCAACGCATGCAACAGTAGTTAAGTAATATTTAGGCATATCACTTTACATGAGAGGACTCTCCAAAGTAATAAAGGTCTCTGACCCGATGGTTGTACACCAGTCAACAAAATGAGGTGTTAGTTAGAATATGGGTTGTGGATCCTTATGATATTTGCTATTCACTGTAACAGTAAGTCAGTCATATTATGCAGAGGTGGAAATAACCCATTGCCCGAAGTCCGAGTCCAGTGTTTTTTTCTGTCGGGCAAGCAAATTTGTATATATATCACACTGTACCGGTGTCCAGTTGACTTTCCAACGTTAATTATGTTGTTTATTTAAAGAATCAACAAGAACACGGACGGTATAGTGGAAAAATTGTCAGGGCAAGTGATTTTACATGTGCCACTGTACCGGAGTACACTACCAATTTTATAAAGTTATTTCTACCCCTGTTATGGCATATCACCTTTACCTGACGTTTACCACTGTTATGAAACTAATGAGGACACGTATACTGCTGACAAGTCAAGACACATAATTGGTGCAAATCTTACATTTAAACCAACAATCATGTGTTTCCACCCAGCTCAGTGATGCAATAGTGATTGAGTGAGTTGAGTCTTTTAGACTAATATTCCAATATCTCAGTTGGGGACAACAGAAACAGGATTCACACTTTGAACCCACCCGGGTAATCGAACCCGAATCGAAGCCGACGCTTTAACCACTAGGCTACCCCACTGTAGATTTCATGACCAATTGTTATGCATGCCATGTCAGCGTGTGAGCTCTGAAGACTTAGCCTTCAGACATGTTCATGCCAGTGAACATGGTCAACCTATGACAATTTTCTACCATAAACAATCATATAGTGGGGAGTAACTTAGTTTTAATGCCACTTTGAACAGTGTTCCACATCACCACATAGCATCATCTTAGTGCACGACACCCATTTCATTACAGGTTAAGTTAGACAGCTTTCATCTGACAAGAGCATCGTTTATCAGATCGGGAAAGTGCAATCGGAAAGTGTTCGCTTACTCTGCAACCTCAAAATGGTTAACATGGTTAACAGCAGTTAGGGTGTATGACTAATTCTGTCTTAATTATCTCATCTCTCTTGCTTGAATGGTATAAAGTTTTCAAAGAGACTTTCCATAGCCTGTGGTATTTACTGTCCTACATCCTCAGCTTCAAGCATCAGGGTCAATAGTAAGTAATATCCATCTACGCAATTGGGAACCGATGACATGGGTCAACCAAGTCAGCGAGCCTGACCACCCGATCCCGTTAGTTGTCTCTTACCACAAGCATGGGTTACTGAAGATCAATTCGACCCCGGACACAATTCAGCACCATGCTGGAAACTGCTTCAAGCAATAGACAATGTTATTACCTGGCTCATGTACTCGAGACATCCGCTGAGCTCTTGGCGTTAGCCTGGCGTATGAACCGTACGTGTTGTTCACTCCCCTGCACATTGAAGTCCACCGGGGACGAACACTTCCGAGTGTTCCCCACATGATAGGGTGGGTGCTTTTTAACATATGGTTTGCTTTGTTCATTGAGTCGGGCTCCATAGAAGGACTTCTTGTCTATAGTCTTGCCGCCATCTTGGTGCTTCTTCATGATCTTGACATCTGTGGGCAGCTTCCTGTGGCATCGCTCACACTTCTCTATGTCCCCACTGGTGTAGCCGCAGAACTTGCAGACTGCAAATCCATCCGCCTGTGAAACAGTGATACCATACAAATAGATAGAAGTTGAAGACATAGAAATTCAAAACATGAGCAAACATCAGTACATGAGTCAAGGCTATTACTCAACCCTATATCTCATATATAATAAAAGCGGGACCAAAACTTCAGTTAGCCAATATGAGTTTAGTTTTAACATTATGCCACTGTGGCCCGGGACACCAGGGCTTCACACATTGTACCCATTTGGGAAATCAAACCTGGGTCTTCAGTGTGACGAGCGAACGCTTTAACCACTAGGCTCCCCCATTGCTCCTAAGCACTTAATAAGCCTGCCTACCCCTGATTGCTTCTTTGGCTTTGGTGGGTCCTGAGGACGCATCATCAGCTGGTCGTCTGTCAGGATTTTGGGTTCCGTCTTTGGAAGATCTGTGCAACAAACAGTGAATGAGTATGGTTTAACAATATTCCAGCAACATCATAGCAGGAGACACCAGAAATGGGTGTCACAAGCTATAAATAAAATATGACCAATCAGGTCAGTGGATTTTTTCCACTCGAAAAAACTCGAAATGGCAGTGTGAGATCAAGTTGATACTGACCGCCATGCTGGACCAGTGGTAGATCTTGGGGCTCCCCTGCCATGTCTGCATTGCTGTGGCTGCCGGGAGTCAACTGCATCTCGGGATGGAGAGGTGGGCTGCTCACAGAAACAGGCGGGAATGAATACAGGCTGGGTGACATATGCATTCATCAACTCATCCAAAATGAGTACTAAGTGACCAATGTTAAAATTGTTTCAAATAATATTTCGTTTCTTTATAATATTCTACACGAGACAATGTACTACTTCATATTTGACAAAAACTGGAATTTGCAAAAGCGCTACAAAATGTGGACAACAGAGTTTAGAATCAGCTTCCATTGCAGTGTCAAATACTTTTTGTATGACATAACTTCCAAACAATCTCATCTCATTCAGCCTCAAACTGGATGCTCAGAATATACCTATCAAACACTGAGTAGTGTATAGGACTCAACTCAAAAACACTCCATTGCATAAAGCACTGTGAGAGTAAAAAGTAACATCCTTGGATTCCATTAGAGCAATGGTATCTCTTGACAACTCTGGGATAGAATGACATGCCATCAGTGAGGTTGAGAAGCAATGACACCAAGTCGAGAAGTGTGAGACCACTGGGATACGAGATGAAATCAACCAAGTCGAGAAAAGTCTGAGACCACTGGGATACGAGACACGGTCAACCAAAGCAGGAAGCTTAACTACATAGGACCACATCGACATACGATCAACCAGGGCAAGAAGACTCACACTATATGGTCACATGAACATGCAATCAACCGAGGTGAGAAGCCTTACACCATAGGGCCACATCGAAATGTGATCAACCAAGGCAAGAAGATTGACATTTTATGGTCACACTGACACACGATCAACCAAGGCAAGTAGCCTGACACCATAAGGCCACATTGAAATGCGATCAACCAAGGCAAGAAGATCGACATTATATTGTAACACTGACACACGATCAACCAAGGCAAGAAGACGGACACCATAAGGCCTCATTGAAATGCGATCAACCAAGGCAAGAAGATCGACACTATATGGTCACACTGACACACGATGAACAAAGGCAAGAAGACGGACACCATAGGGCCACATCGAAATGCGATCAACCAAGGCAAGAATCCTGACACCATAAGACCTCATCGAAATGCGATCAACCAAGGCAAGAAGCCTGACATCATTAGACCTCATCGAAATGTGATCAACCAAGGCAAGAAGACCGACATTATATTGTAACACTGACACACGATCAACCAAGGCAAGAAGACGGGCACCATAGGGCCTCATCAAAATGTGATCAACCAAGGCAAGAAGATCAACATTATATTGTCACACTGACACACGATCAACCAAGGCAAGAAGACGGGCACCATAGTGCCACATCGAAATGCGATCAACCAAGGCAAGAAGATTGACATTATATTGTCACACTGACACACGATCAACCAAGGCAAGAAGATGGACATTATATGGTCAACCAAGGCAAGAAGATTGAATGGTCATCACACTGGCACACAATCAACCAAGGCATCGACATTATATCACGATCAACCAAGGCAAGAAGATCGACATTATATGGTCACACTGACACACGATCAACCAAGGCAAGAAGATCGACATTATATGGTCACACTGACACACGATCAACCAAGGCAAGAAGATCGACATTATATGGTCACACTGACACACGATCAACCAAGGCAAGAAGACTGGACACCATCGGATCACACCATAAGATACAATGTACACAGGCACATGGATCAATCACCACATTGTCTTGGGCAGAATGTACACAGGCACATGGATCAATCACCACATTGTCTTGGCCAGAATGTGTACAAGCTGCCCTCATAAAAGTAGAATACTGTTTGGCATCAACAACAAACTGACCGTGCAAGCTGTGATGTATCCAGACTAGTGTGGCGCCAGATCCTTCCATTGGGCAGGATGTTCTGGGCGTTGTTCTGGGAATACTTTCTCCAAGCATGCTGGCACTGGCCACATTGCCAAGCAAGGAGCTGTGAATAGATGAGGTGAGGTGAGGTGAAATTGGGTTTTACGTCGAGCTTGAGAATATTTCGTTCATATGACGACGTGCATGCGTGTGTATGTGCGGCTGCTTGTACTAGCCCAGACTGAAGCTTGTTTTATAGTGCTAGTCCACTGAGATACCATGCCGCAGTGAAGCATGAATACCCCACTCAGACACATTATACTGACTCCAAGTCGACCAGTCCTTGCTGTACCCATTAATGCCGAGAGCCAGGCAGGGACCAACAAGTACCATATTTTAATGTCTTTTGGTATGACGCGGTCGGGGATCAAACCTGCAACCTTCCGCTCTCCGGGCGGACGCTCTAACCACACTACACCACGGAGGCGGTCTGTGAATAGATGAGTGGAACATCAATCTAGCACTGTGGAAAACCAGTCACAGTTTCACACGTTGAGGAAAAGGGACTAACCGATTGGCTGAGATGAACTGATTGCCTAACATCTTGTTGGAAGCAATTAATGTCTAATCAACTTGGTTTTGTTTTAAATGTCTTAATCTGCCAGAGTTGTATTCAAAGGCTATCTAATTATAATCAGGTCTTATACACAGATATGATACCCCTGTGTGAAGATCTAAGGACTCTTCCATAGAATTAGGAGTCAGACAAGCTTTCTAATCAGTGTCAAGGCTTCTAAATTCTCAAAATAAGTGAAGCAAAAAAGAAGAAAGCTGCGCTATTACAGGGTGTTCAATAAGTATGCCTGACTATCATTGTATGACTTAACTTTAAGCGAGGCAGTTCTGACTTTCGTAAACAGGTCAATCCAGTCTCATTAAAATCTGATCTTGGTCCTGTCTAGTGCTACACATAGATCTATGGACACTGTGTTACAGGTCATGTCAGAATGACATTTAGTGAACTTTGACTAACCAATGAAATGACAAACAAGAAGTCAACTCGAACCAATCAGAAAGCAGTTTTCTGAAGTAGTACAGCACTAGATTCAAACTGATGACTAGAATACCATTAAAAGTATTTAAATAAAGTTCCTCATTTAAAATCGGAAAACTGAATAAAAGAAAATTCTGGAATGTCTAATATATTGGTCGGGATTGCATGGAAGTACTTTGTTTGATGATTGTTTTGAGATAATCAGCCGTACAATCTGTAAATATCATCCATAAAATCCTGCTTTAACCGAAGTGTGCAAGTTATTAGAGGACACATTCCAACAATCACCTTCCAAATTGACACTCTGATGGGTCACAAGAACGGTTTTGCTCAACATGACCAATAATGGGATGATGTCCTAAGTTCTATGTTTGACCGCAGTGAGCACTAAGATACGATTTAAATCTTGTATAAGTGTGTCCAGGAAAATCCTAACATTACAGATTCAACATTCAACAAATCTTACCGTCCTTTCATCACAGTCATGGAGTTGCCATCAGCAGCAGACATGTGTAGCCCTGTAGCATTGCCCTTGAGAGGCCGCCCCTGCATTTGACCTTGACCTCTTCCCCTGCCCTGACCCCGACCACGCCCCCTAGATGTGCTCCCCCTACCCCCTCCAATAATGTTGCCACCACTTGCATTTAATTTGCCCTGAAAGTTGACTGGAAAGAAAAAAGAGGAAAATGTTAAAAAGCACCATTAGGATGCCGTAGGATAAACAGTGACAACATTAACCAATAACCTCATCAGTCACTGACATTTTCAAAGTCATAAAACCACTGAATAAGAATAACAAAACCTGAAAACAATCATTACATTTTTGTTGTTGTTTAACGTTACACTCAGCAATATTCAAGCTATATGACAGCAGTCTGTAAATAATTGACAAGAAAATCCAGTGATTAACAGCATGAACATCATTCTCCGCAGTTGGGTGAGTAAGTGAGTTTAGTTTTACGCCGCACCCAGCAATATTCCAGCTATATGGCGGCGGTTTGTAAATAATCGAGTCTGGACCAGACAATCCAGTGATCAACAGCATGAGCATTGATCTGCACAATTGGGAACCGATGACATGTGTCAACCAAGTCAGCGAGCCTGACCACCCGATCCCAATAGTCACCTCTTATGACGAGCATGGGTTGATGAAGAACACTTCTAACCCAGAACTTTACAGGTCCCATTACAATTAATCAAAATTGCTAACATGACCATTGTTTAAAATAGTTACCTGTTTCCTTCATTGGTTCCAGCCCATTTGCTGTGTACTTAGCTAGGAAACCTCCAGTGCCATTGGACTTTTTGACAAGGTAAACATATCCTTTCTGAAAATTCTGTCCCCTGACAGACAAAGTTTGTTGCGCATCATTTGAGAATGTCTGTTGTCCATCAGAGCTCTCAATCTGATGGGCGATGTTCAAACCCCGCTGTGTCTGGTTCATCAATCCCTGATGCTGCAGAGATGCACTGGACAGATCCTGCTGTTGGTGCGTCGCCGTCTTCATTTGTTGCTGTGAACTGTTCAACGTCTGATGCTGATGATTCACTGAATTGAACATCTGTGATGCATTCAGGCCTTGTTGATGCTGTGAGGTATTCAACAGCTGATGCTGTGATGTGTTCATAATATGCTGCTGTGGGGATCCACTGGTCATGTCCTGCTGCTGATGCGTGTTCATCAAGTTCGGAGAATGCTGTTGTCCGTAATTCTGACCTATATCGCGTTGATCAAAATTTGAGGGGGCGGACACATTGTACCGGACATCTTGAGGTGACTGCTGAGGATAGGGACTGCCCCTGTATACCTGATTAGGAGTTCCAATCACAGGGCTAGATCTAGCCTCTTCACTAGACATTGTCAGTGCCACCTCACCCACATTCTCACCAAAATGAGGAGAGGCAGATTCATATTCTCGTATCATGGACATTCCTGAACTCTGAACTGTGTTTTTGGAATATTTTGTCTTTGGTGGAGTTGCTATCCGGTTAATGAAGCTTTCTGAAGACGCTTGACTAGATGAGCTGTAGATTTCTGGACTCAAAGAAGATGTTTGGTCTGAGATATTTGAGGGGGTAAAATTGCTGAAGCTTGATGGAACAGGGGAACCTGAGAAGCTGTTCTCGCTGGAGGGGTACTGCTGATGGGTGAACTGATTGTGTTGATACTGTGTGGTAGAAGCCTGTTGCTGAGCATGTGCTGTCGGGGAGAGCTGGACTGACGTCTGCTGCAAATGCTGAGCATTAAGTGACGTCTGCTTAATGTGTGATTGCTGGATTGACTGCTGATCACGCTGAACAGTCACCTGCTGAACGGGGGGACTGCTGAAGTGATGGAGTGAAGGCATGCTGAATGGTAGTCGATGGAGCAGAACTTTGCTGTAAAGAATACTGGACATTCGGACTTGTGGCAGCATGGAGAAAGTTCCCTGACTGTTCCTGTGGTGATGGGATATAGTCCATGGGCGTCTCAGTTTGGTATGCAGCTGGCTGGGTAGGGCTGGGGGTGAAGTCAGAGGGTACAAGGTACTGACTGCTTGAGGAGCTAGGGATCGAGTAGATTTCTTCCCCTAACTGAAGCTGGATGGTATTTTCAGTAGTTCCAAGCTGTTCCAGTAAGTTCACTGCCTGATTCTGGCTTGTTGGATCAACTAGCATCACTTCTCTGAAAAAAAATAGACGGTTCAGAGTAGTGAAATGCTGAAACTAATGCAGTCACTAGTCACTAATGTATATCAACAGACTTACAGGTTTACTGGACAATGTATGTACAAGTGTATGTTAGTTTTTTCTGAGGGGGCAAGTTAAAGTAAACATGGTAAAATAAGAAAATTTATTACCCATATGGTGAAACATAACCATCACATTTGCCTAATAACCATTATTTCTGCATTTTGTCGTCTGTGACGTCAATAAACAATTGAACGTGACGTGAATGAAGAGGGCCGTCAGACTTGCTTACCATGTTTTACTCCACAAATGTACGTGAATAAAACGGAAAATAAAGAAATCATTACACTTGAGTAAGTGTATCATATGACATATACAAAACTCACGCACAATTGTGCCAGGGCAATAGATAATTTTGCATGAGTTTCGTATAAGTCTGTTGACACACTCGCTCACGTAATAACCTCTATGTATGGTTTTATGTGGGAGTTTGGATGATGACACAGATTATATTTGATTAGAATTTATAGGTATAATCAGGTATAGAAATCAGACCTGGCCCACAGGACTAGACTATTTTGTGAAAAGACACAGACACACAAGCACCCACACACACATGCACGCACACAACATAGTCCCTTCAAATGTTTAGTAGGATCACTTAACATAGCAACATTTTGGTCTGCTGGGACTTGGGGACAAGAACGAGAAAATGCTTCAAAAACGTACTCTGGCCCATCAGCTGCTTCTGTCTTCATATCCTCCATGGGCTGCGGCAACAGACCCTCAAGTCTTTGGGACTCCCCCCAACTGCCACTGCCAGCCCCGGAGCTGGGGCTTGTCATTCTGCTGACCGAGGACTGAGACTGGAAACTGGTGAACTGATTAGCACTTGTCCATCCTCGATCTGGAGATAATTCCTGCTCTTCTAAAGCTAAGTTAAAGAAAAGGCACAGCATCATACAGCTTGTCGATTTGCACTTTTCTACCATCCATAAGGAAATAATTCTGCTCACTCAAAATTAAAATAAAGAATATGCATAGCATCAAGATAAATATGACAGAAGTCAGTACACTGTAGTGCATTGGCAATCTTCAGACTTCAGCACTACTACAACTTGTTATGAGATCAGACTGTAATTGTATTTCATTAACTTCAACAGGGTTCTAACCTAAGCCTCACAATGCTTGCACCTGTAATTCCTTCACAGAAAAGGTATGCAGAAACTCTTCTCTTAAATTAACAGTCTGCCAGATGGGAATCATAAGGTATAGTTTGTTAGGTTTGGCAAATGTCTTCTGTGTGCAACTTACTCTAAAGTGATATATTCACACTCTTCTCAAAACAGTGGCTGCCTGCCATTACAGTGCATACAGGACTGGTGACAGTGGCTATCAACTTCCTGGTGTTAAATTCTTAAAGAAGGCCATGACTGGTCTATATGTTTAAATTGTTTTGTGTTCATCTGGGAGAAAAATCTTGCACAATTCACACAAAGCAAAAATAACCCAACAAAAGTCCAATAAGCAGAGTTCAAAATTGAGCAGGACCCTTGAGCAAGTTGAGGTTTGCTATCATATTTGAATCAACAATAAGGTAAGGACCCTGTAATGTAACGATGTGGAACCTGTGATTGCCATGCTTAATTCTGAACAATGTAAAATACAGTGTGTACTGAGTGTGATTGGAATATCATGATTATCATCTTAACCATGATCCAAACATTCATCAAGACGCCCACCATAGGGATCCCATTATCACTGATAATCCAGAAAGGTTCCATCCTATTCATAATTGGGTAATAAACATGATAGATAAGACACACTGTCCCATGCTGTGTTTATTTATGTGTGCTGCAGTGATTAATCTACCTGAATGGAACTCACAGTAGAATGAGAGTGAGCATGCCAATTTTGGCAGAACTTTTGTTTCTTAATAAATTTCTTACAAACTGATTAATATCCCTCCAAGCACTAATGAACAGTAGGGCTGGCTATCGATACTGATCATATAGAACAATAATAGGAAGCTAAATATCGATCAATTATTCATAACTATCACAGAAGTAAAAGAGCAAAAATGCTGAAAACATCTTAGAGAAATCAACATATTTTGCATCACTGGTGCATGGATTACTAACAAATTACTAGCGCCTCAACATGATCTAGAAGTAGGTAATGAATAAAGGCCTAACTTTGTGCATTGCTTGAGTGAATTAAAAACATTTGTTACCAACAGCTTATTATGATATTATTGTTGATACAATTTTCATATTGATAATCATAACTAATTCTTTTTGTCAGCCCTAATGAACAGACATTTTGTTCTTGCCACAATCCATATTTTGAAGGACCCAAAATACTTCATGCATTCTACAGAAAATAATTATGGCAGAATGCATTTGGGTTGTCTTACTTTGGGATTATTTGGGTCTTGTTCTCTGTAAAAGCTTGATAAGATGAGAGTTACCATCGTCAATATGTCAATTTTGTTCATAAGTAAGCCCTTCCAGATTAATCTGGACACTGAATGACAGCATTTGTTCACTGACAGCAGTGTACTTTGATATCATGGTCAGGCAGACTTTGGTATAGTTTATTGTCATGACAGGGTGCGACATTTGAAGTACTGTTTGTCCGGCAAACATATTATAAGCCAAACAAATTTTCCAAAGTTTATTCTAATGTTAACTTTTGCATTTCAAGTAATGATCAGTTGCAGTCATAAAATCTTAATTCGCTCTGAAATGCCATGCTTCAACTGTGCATAACACATTCTATTAGTAAACATGGTGAAAATTATCATGAAAATGGCAAATGTGCCGCCATGGTTAGGACACAATTTCCCTTTCTTTCCTTAAATATTGATGAAATACATTTACAAATGCAATCGATTCGATTATTGAGCACTTACCTGTTAAAAGAGACATTGCAGTATATTCATCCTGACTAAGCGCGAAGAAGAAAGACGAATTACAAATGTAAATATTTCACAGTCTAAGAATCATTTCTCGCCACCATAACACGACTCGTTTGTGTGATGTCGCAACACCCATTCCATGGTATTGTAGATATATATTTATAATTTTGTATAATTACAGGCATATTTATTAGATACTCACATTACAAGTTGTGTTCATGTTGTTATATACTTACGAAAAATGTATTTTACGACATATTAAAAAGCTATCCAAACGTTCCCGCCAAATATGAAAAGGCTTGATGCGCACTGACTGCCCAATGAGATTGTGCAGCGCGTTTACCTGCTCTCAAATGCATGGAAAATATGATCTGCCGCTTCACGACTTTCTTTAGTGATTTACATATTGTTTTTTTACTCGAGTTTTCATAGATTGGGAACAATTGGTAGGGGCTGTTGTGTTGTACAGAATGATATTGCATAATATGTTACCGTGCTGTACATAATGTATTTGCTCTCGGTATGTGCCCAATCACCTGTAAAAGTCGGAATGTACAAATGTTAAAGGGTTAATGTCTGGCCTTTTCGCCGCCGTCTTAACGGGTGTCTTAAACCGGAAATTATCATTCCGGGAAATCTAAACCGAGGGTTGAAAGGCCTACTTCTCGGTTGATGTTATCATATGCTTAATTTTCACGAGACTAATGCTAATTAAATATCTGAAAAGACATAATTTTGATATAAACAAATAATTGAATTGAATTTGTAAAGGAATGCCTGTGAATTTGAGATTCGCAACCTGAAGAAATCTAGACTTGTTTCTTCTAGGGCTTCAGCTGGGAGCGGAAGGGAAAATAATGTGGTTCAGGGACTGTGAGACAGGCTAGAATTTCAGTTGGAACAATTTAAAGTCATCGACACTGTCGCTTCGTCAGCCTTGAAACAATACTTCTACATGGTTTTAATGTTTATACAAGAAATATTTAATAATAAGGCTTATACCACGTGGATGATGTATTACTCTCTCTGAACTAAGTTCTTCAAACATTATGTGGCTTTCGAATATATATAACAGTAATGTATGTGTGTGTACGTTTGTCTCACAGTCCCTGAACCACATTATTTTCCCTACTGCCAAGCCCTATCTGCAGTGCTAAAGCCCTAAATAAAGCAAGTGTAGATTTCCCCAGGTTCTGAGTATGGAATTTTTGTTACTATGAAAGTTATATATATTCAGAAACTAAGCGTTAGTCGTGTACGTGTGTGTGTGCGTGCGTGAGAATCTGGAGTAAACATCAGCAACAAAGACAAATAAAAACAAAAGACCCACACAGACATTCTAATGACATAGTATACCATGAGCCACGAAGTCAACGTGGCTGACCAAACACTCGGATTCCGAATAGTTATATATGCGCTACACTGAAGTGAGTGAGTGTGCTTTAGCAATATCACGGCGGGGGTCACCAGAAATGGGCTTCACACACTGTACCCTGGTAGGGAATCGAACCCGGGTCTATGGCGTGACCAGCGAACACTTTAACCCCTAGGCTACCCCACCGCCTCGGTAGACTCGAGACAGTCTCAGGTTTCAGTATAAGGACACCGGTGGAGCGTAACTGTATATTGCTAGTAAACATTCGATTATAATCAAGGAAGTATGGTTTTACTGTTGTAGTATTTTTATTATTGGCTGTTTGTTTTACCCAATATAAGGAAACTATTAAGTATATTTCAAATACCAATAAAGTTTACCGAAAATATACATACCTACTTTCAATCAAAACGTCTATAGTTGGTTGGCTGGTTGGTTAACGCCAGACGCAGCTATATTCCAGCTATATGGCGACGGTCTGTAAATAATGGAGTCTAGACCAGACAATCGAGTGATCAACAGCATGAGCATCGATCAACACAACTGGGATACGATGACATGTGTCAACCAAGTCAGCGAACCACCCGCTCCCGTTTGTCGCCTTTTACGACAAGCATGGGTTACTGAAGACAAATTCTAACCCGGATCTTCGCGGGTCCCAAAACGTCTAAAAGCAGTGTTGAAAACTCGTACATTTCGCTGCCTTCCGGCAAACACTTTAACCACCGCCCCGATCGATAAATGAAATGGGTTTGTATGTTTTTTATGTGACCCACCACGTGAATTTCAGTTGTTTCCGTTCAAGAACGTGCGGTAATGATACCTGATATTTCGAGTCAGCTTGTATATGGTGAGTGAAAATTGTCTTACGCGACGTTTGGTGGGGACACCAGAAATGGGCTCCAGACATTGTATCCATCTGGGGAATCAAACCAGGGTCAACGGCGTGACGTTTGAACGCTTTACCCACTTATTCACCATACCCTCCCTATTTGACGGGATACAGTATCAGAGGACGAGCGTGTGTATAGAGGACTTGTGAACATAGTGAGTTGAGATTATCAATATTACAATTATATTTGGACGTCGCAGCTTAATGTGAGTGAGTTTAGTTTTACACCGCTTTTAGCAATATTCCAGCAATATTACGGCGGGGGACACCAGAAATGGGCTTCACACATTGTGCACATGTGGGGAATCGAACCCGGTTATTAGGTGTGACGAGCGAACGCTTTAACCACAAGGCTACCCGACCACTTTAAGTGGTGAAACCTTCGACCAATGGGATGGTGCTGACAAACCTAGAAATTAATTGGATTAACCCACACTAATTCGAACCCACACTAGGTTTCCGTTGTGTTTAGTCTAAGGGACGCAACTCTGTGCAACGCCTTAGACAACTGTCCCCCACCCGCCGTTCCCCAAGAAATGGTAAATACAGATTCGTATATACAGCGAGTAGAAGATTAGCTATACAACCCAGAATTTTTGTTGCATCTTCGATCATGCAAGGTTAAGGACATCTAATGCACGATCGACACAACCTATTTGTTCTCAACGCCAGAATTCATTAGTCCAAAATGGTTAATTGTTTCAGTGCGAGTCAGCAAAATCTTTTCAGCAAACAATCGGCATGTCCCTTGTAATTATCGGCTATACCAGGGCTGGCAGCCTTAAACTCCGTTTGCTGTTTACACAGTAAGACCCCATATTTCGTTGTTGGATCTTTCACATGTGAAGGTACGTGGGTCAGTGACTACACCGCCAAACCCCGCCAACAAAACAGTACACCGCTTTTAGCAATATTACAGCAATGTCACGGCGGGAACGCCTCAAATGGGCTTCGCACGTTGCTCCCATTTAGGGAATCGAACCCGGGTCATTCGGACACGAGCGAACGCTTTAATCACTAGGCGCGTGTTCTGGGGAATTGGTAGGGAATCCACGCAAACGCGGAGCAAGTGGCCATTGGCTGTTCTTGTCTACTTCTCGTCATCTGGTTTGGTGGGATGTACGTCTACTTTCTGCTGTCTGTTTTGGTGGGATGTACGTCTACTTTCTGCTGTCTGTTTTGGTGGGATGCACGTCTACTGTCTGCTGTCTGTTTTGGTGGGATGTACGTCTACTTTCTGCTGTCTGTTTTGGTGGGATGTACGTCTACTTTCTGCTGTCTGTTTTGGTGGGATGTGCGTCTACTTTCTGCTGTCTGTTTTGGTGGGATGTACGTCTACTTTCTGCTATCTGTATTTGGTGGGATGTACGTCTACTTTCTGCTGTCTGTTTTGGTGGGATGTACGTCTACTTTCTGTTATCTGTTTTGGTGGGATGTGCGTCTACTTTCTGCTGTCTGTTTTTGGTGGGATGTACGTCTACTTTCTGTTATCTGTTTTGGTGGGATGTACGTCTACTTTCTGCTGTCTGTTTTGGTGGGATGTACGTCTACTTTCTGTTATCTGTTGTGGTGTACGGATGTGCGTCTACTTTCTTCTATCTGTCTGGGATTGGTTTGGTGGGATGTACGTCTACTTTCTGCTATCTGGTTTGGTGGGATGTACGTCCACTTGCGTCTACTTGGTGGGATGTACGTCTACTTTCTTTGGTGTGGGATGTACGTCTACTTTCTGCTATCTGGTTTGGTGGGGGATGTACGTCTACTTTCTGTTATCTGGTCTGGTAGGATGTACGTCTACTTTCTGCTATCTGACTTGGTTGGATGTACGTCTATCTGTTTTGGTGGGATGCACGTCTACTTTCTGCTATCTGTTTTGGTGGGATGTGCGTCTACTTTCTGCTATCTGTTTTGGTGGGATGTACGTCTACTTTCTGCTATCTGTTTTGGTGGGATGGATGCACTCTTCTAACCCAGTTTTGTTTGGCAGGATGCATTGCCTACTTTCTAGTTTCTCTTGTCATTGTGAAATTCCTATGTACCTTCTATTTATTTTTAATGACTGTTAAATATGGTGTTGGGTCCACTGATAACACTGTTTCAGAAGCTGTGGATCTTTGTGATGAATCGGACCATAGCCAGTAACCAATATTGAAATGGTGTCTGGTGTATTAATGACAATGTTCTTCGTTACAGTTCTTTTCATTTGCCAGGACACCCAAGCGTATTTTGATATCAGATAAACACAAATATTTGCACATATGCCCATTCAATTTCATTAGTCCAAGTTGTAAGTGAATGTAATGATTGGTTGATTGGTACATAATGCTACTGCAATAGTCCAGTTAAGTCACAGAATAGACAGACGGTTGTTCCTGAGCCACTGCTTACGCTGCCTATGCATGGTGACATGCATTAAGCTTAGTTGACCACAGAATAAACATCAGTTGGGTCTTATGACAAGCATGTTTTTCTGGTTGGTTAGTTGGTTGTTTGACGCCACACTCAGCAATATTCCAGCTATATGGCGGCAGTCTGTAAATAATCCAGTCTGGACCAGACAATCCAGTGATCAACAGCATGAGCATAGATCTACACAAATGGGATACGATGACATGTGTCAACCCAGTCAGCGAGAATAACCACCCTCTCCCATTAGACACCTCTTAGGACAAGCATGGTTAACTGAAGATCAATTCTAACCTGGATCTTCATGGGTATGTTTTTCTGGATTGCTGTGTACAAGAACATCTTTACCTGCTGTACTGATTACTAATGGAACCTAAGATATTCTCTTGAGTTTGGAGTTATTGGTATGTACTTATTATCTGTGA